CTACGCACACCTGGCAAGTGTGGGCCATCTACATGGTCTTAGCTGTAAAGCTCTCCAGAGAGCAAGAGCTGAAGCAGACTTGTCCTTCCTGCGATACCACTGAGGTTTGCAACTGCTCTTCCATGGGCTTGGATTTGATTCCACCTGGGCTCACAGCCAAAACCACAGTGTTAAACCTGGCCCACAACAGGATAAAGCACATTCGATCCCAGGACCTGTGGCACGCTGTGAACCTGAGAGCCCTGCTGCTGCAGTCCAACAAAATCAACTCGATAGATGAGGACTCATTTTGCTCCCTTGGGAAACTGGAGCTCTTGGACTTGTCGAATAACAGCTTGGCTCACTTGTCCCCCGTGTGGTTTGGGCACCTCTTTTCGCTCCAGCATCTCCACCTTCAAGGCAACTCCTACAGAGACCTGGGTCAAAGCTCCCTATTCTCTACCCTGAGGAACCTGAGCTCTCTCCACCTGGGCAACCCGTGGTTCTCCACAATAAGGCAAGGGAACTTTGAGGGCATTGTGCTTCTTGACAAGCTGTGGATTGACGGTGGCAATCTCAGTCAGTACGAGCCGGGAAGTTTGGAGGTGATTAGGAAGATAAATCACATGATCATGAACATAAGAAGTGTTAACATACTCTCAGCAGTTGTCAGGGACCTTCTTCACTCTGTCACTTGGTTAGAAGCGAGGAAAACAGACCTCAGTGCACCTGCTGAAATGCAGCTATTGAGAGTCATGTCGTCTTCTTTTGCAAAGAAAATTTCTTTTAAACAGACTTTGATAACAGACGCCACTGTGCCTGCGATTGTCAGCATTGTAGCAGACATGCCAAAACTAGAGGAGATCGAGTTGATAGACTGTAGACTCTTGGGAACTGGACGATGGAAAATGCAAATTCATGTAAACCAGTCACAGACTCTTAAAGTTCTGATGATAGAGAAATTATCTATAGAACAATTCTATTTGTTTACGGACCTTCAGGATGTGGAAGGTCTACTAAGTCTTCTCACTAAAATCACAGTTGTAAACACCAAGGTCTTTTTGGTACCATGCAGGCTTTCACAAAATCTTCGATCACTAGAGTATCTTGACCTTAGTTCAAATTTGCTTGGAGACCAGAGTTTGGGGCATTCGGCATGTCAGGGTGGTTGGCCCTCACTGCAAACTCTGAATTTAAGTCAGAACTCACTGAGTGACTTAGAAATGACAGGTAAAAGTTTGTCTCATCTGAGACACCTAATTCTCCTAGACATTAGCCAAAATAACTTTGGTGAGATTCCAGATGTGTGCGAATGGCCAAAGACCCTGAAATACTTAAACCTCTCCAGCACTCAAATTCCTAAGGTAACGACTTGCATTCCCCCAACGCTGGAAGTATTGGATGTTAGCGCTAACAACCTGAAGGAGTTTGGACTGCAACTCCCATTTCTGAAAGAGCTGTACCTCACCAGAAACCAGCTTAAGACCTTGCCTGGCGCGGCACCCATCCCTAACTTAGTGGCCATGTCAGTCAGAAGAAACAAGCTCAACAGTTTCTCGAAGGAAGAGCTCGAGTCCTTCGAGCACATGGAGCTGCTGGATGCTGGCGACAACAACTTCATCTGCTCGTGCGAGTTCCTCTCCTTCATCCACCACCAGGCGGGACTAGAGCAGATGCTGGTGGGGTGGCCGCACAAGTACGTCTGTGACTCTCCCCTGGCAGTGAGAGGGGCTCAGGTTGGAGCCGTGCACCTCTCGCTGATGGAGTGCCACCGGTCCCTCGTGGTGTCGTTGATCTGCACCTTGGTGTTCCTGGTCATCCTCGCCCTCGTGGCCATTGGCTACAAGTACCACGCGGTCTGGTACCTGAGAATGACCTGGGCATGGCTCCGAGCCAAGCGGAAGCCCAAGAGAGCCCCCCCCAAGGACCTTTGCTACGACGCTTTTGTCTCCTACAGCGAGAACGACTCGGACTGGGTGGAAAACATCATGGTGCGGGAGCTGGAGCAGGCCTGCCCCCCCTTTCGGCTCTGCCTCCATAAGCGGGACTTTGTGCCCGGGAAGTGGATTGTGGACAACATCATCGACTCCATAGAGAAGAGCCACAAAACGCTCTTTGTGCTGTCCGAGCACTTTGTGCAGAGCGAGTGGTGCAAATACGAGCTGGACTTCTCCCACTTCCGCCTCTTTGATGAGAACAACGATGCGGCGATTCTCATCCTTCTGGAGCCCATCCAGAGTCAAGCAATTCCCAAGAGGTTCTGCAAGCTGCGGAAGATCATGAACACCAAGACCTACCTGGAGTGGCCT